CTGCTGACATTTCGTAATAGCTCGAGAAATAACCGGTGGAATCCGCATCGAGTGCCCCATTTAGTCGACGCCGCGCGATCTTCGTACTCTCTTCAAATAAATCAGAGAAAATATCTCTGATTCAATCAGTAAAATAAGCATTTTGCCGATAATCAATGTGTGTTTACTGAATATCAATGTGAACACTGTCACTTTAATGCTCTGTCTTATACCTCTTTGATTTCGAACACAATGGAAGTAACATTTCACTGCAAAATATGTAGTACATAAATTCGTTGTGTGCTGTATCAAAGTGCGATGGTCACAGTGTTTGCAATTTCTTTCAGCGAGATTTTATTGCAGTATTGCTATCGTTGTGAGAATTTTATAATAAAAAGAAAATTACTAAGAATTTCATAGAATTTTGTAAGCGACATGGTGCAGTAATTGATTATCCTTTCATTTCATACGTGCTATTTATGTAGAAACTAAAATGTGCTGTTTATATAGGAACCGAAATTTAAAAAACTGCTGTGTTTTTGGTAGAACATGTTTTTAGGATTAAACTGATTCAAACCCATGGGATAAATTTCTAGTCGGCAGTTAAATACAACATTTCAGTGAAGAATACACCGAGTATCCTTAGAGAGTAGATTTATCGAGTGTCGTATGTATCTCGCAAGCAAGACTTCTCCTCCATGTTGCTGGAGTATCGACAGTGTTCCACCGGCGGATAAACGGGAGCTCTTCCGCGAGGCTCCTGCAAATTTGAGACTCCCGTCGCGCTCTCGAGCTCCACGATCGCGCTTAATACCCGACCACTTCATTAGCTTCTTGCGCAGCTCGCCGGCTAATAACCGCGACTAATAAGTGCCTCGCGTTCGCGCGCGAGAGAGCACTCCTCGGCCCTGGTAATTGAGATGAACCTGCGAGGGTAACGGCGGCACGAGAGAGGTCGCGGGGTCGCCGTGCAGGCGCTCTTCAGGGTTCCGTCGCGGCCGCGTATCGGCCTACTCCAGTCGCGAGCCGCGCACTCGTCCGCGCCCGTCCCCGTGGCATGTTGCGAATAAAGCAAGGCAGACTACTTCTTCTTCTTCTTCGCGAGTGTTTCTCTGCCGCGGCGATTCGTTCTTATTGCATTGGGGAACTCGTCGCTCGGCATTCCGCCGCGGTCGGAATTTCTATTTCATAATAACAGCCGTGCGCTCGCTCGCGTTCGCGCGCTTCGAGGAGGCCAGCCATCGGGCGAGAAGAAGAAGAAGAAGAGAAGGGTCTTCTTCTTCTCCTCTCTTCGCCGTCGTCATCGTCGTCTTCTTCTTCTTCTTGCACTTGTGCTTCGCGCACCTCTAGACTCGCGCGCACGTATAGACGAGTGAGTACCCACTTCAGACTGGTTTCCGACTCGGATGAACGGACGGACGAACTCGAGTCCACTCGACTCGTGTGCGTGTATGCACGTGGTGGTACCCAAACGTAAAAGCGCGCGCGCGCACGGTGGTCGGCCGTCTCGCGCGCGGCCGTCCAGATGCGTGCCGACTTTTATCTCTTTGACCTACTATTTTCAGGGCGACCGTAATTGAGCGGAGTCGCGCGCCGCCGTCGCCGCTCCGCCCGAGCGGGATTCACTTAATGACCACGTCTTAATTTGTCGGCGTGCAAATTTCGCGAATTAAGCACGGTTAATTGTTCGGGGTAATTGAACGGCCGCGCGGACGCGAGTCACGTTGTGTCCTCGGAAAGGTGGGATAATTCCTCATGTATACACCAAGCGTGTAATTCGAAGGGAGACCGGAATGCAACGGCGCTTGAGTCGTTTGAGTGAGGCCCGAGCGAATTAATCTCGGAGTCGCGAGGGAGAACAATCGAGCTTACAGGTTGTAGGTCGGCGCAAAGAGTTTATTGTGCCTGTGCGATCAAATAGAAAGTTGTGTAATAAAATAAAAAAACGAAATCATCCAATTTCGAAGATCGACAGCTGCAGGGCGTCTTTAATAAAATTAACAGCATCGACTCGGCACTTTTTTCAACATCTAACGAGGACTTCTTTTCTTTTGATATCCAAAACTTCCTTTTTTTCAAAATTATTCAAATTTCCTATGAGAATTTAATAAAAAATAATGACAGAAAAATGACGAATCTTTCGCACGAATCTAATAAAGTGTCAATTGTGATGTCGTGCGTATTCCCTTATTAATGTGGTCGCGCGACAATTTTAAACCTACCAATGACGGTAAAGTAAAAGCGAGATCGATTAGGACCAAGCGACATGTTATAGAAATATCGAGCGAGATGTAGTGATACATGAAAGATTTGACCCGAGATTAATTTACATAAATTATGGAAATGAGCCATCATACGCGTCGCGACGTCGAGAAATTCGGCCGGAACGTCGACAACCGCGTAGGGCGCTCTAAATCGAATGTTAGTCCTCTCGTTCTTCGCGGCGCCGACCTCCTCAATCACGGGACGTTGTCGCCGAAAGTCGGCAAACTCGACACAGCATCTTTTTCAGCGAGATGTCAAACTCCACCTGCACTTCCTCGTGCCGCAGGCGTGCGCATGCGTGTGTGCGAGCGAGCGAGCGAGCGAGCGTATCGTCGTTCGCGCTCTTCGCGCGAAGTATTCCGCGGCGATTTTTCCTCACCACGCAACGCTACGAGAAATTAGGTGGACGTCCAATAATAGCGCGCGTATATTTTCGCAGAATCCTTGAAGAAACACGCCTCTAGATCTCGCTTCCGGTAGCTCTTCTTTTTCCTCCTACCGCGCGAGAGTATTCCCGCCGAGCGTCCATCACTCTGTTCGATCGACCGGCCGACCAATCGATCGATCGATCGACGACGATCGTCGGTCGCTACGCAGAGCGGGAAAATCGTCGCGTAATAGTCGGGGAAAACGCGACGTGGAGCCGCGAGTTCACTCGGAAAATTTTCTAACGACGGGTTCGACGACACCGCGGATAAATATTACGTCGCGGTCGCGTGCGCGGTGTTCTCCTTTTTTCGCTCTCTCTCTGCCTCCCCTCTCTTCCTTCTCCTCTTCACCTGGCCTCTCCTCTCCCCGATGGGAAACGTTTTCCTGGGTCTTTTTCTTGCTCGCGGCGCGAAACACTTTCTCTTTTTTGTTCATTGCGCATCCTTGGACGACGATCGATCTCCCGACATCGAGCCGCCGCCGCGAGACCGAGGCGCGGGATTTCAATGCGTTCCGCGAGAGCGCTCCGTGACGTATCGACAGGCACAGCGGGATAACTTGCATCGTCACACACGCACCTCCTCCTCCTCCTCCTCCTTCTCCTCCCTCCTCCTCCCCCGTCTCTCTGCCGCAGCCCTCGTTTTCCGCATTTATTTTTGTTGGACACACTGTAACGCGAGTGTGTAGCGCGAGGTTTTTCACTCGCGCGGCTGTTTTCACTCGCGGCGCAGCCGGCCGGCCGGCCGGCCGATTTATCCGTAACTGTGCGAGCGCAAACCTGACTGCGGATCGCAGTTCGGGGAATCGGAAAAACGTGGGACACGATCGCGATCGATCGGGCGATTTTATAATTAGCGTTTTCTAGCGAAGCAATTGGGAAATGCTGCGACGAAGACGAGAGCAAACGTAGGAGACAGAGAGAGAGACAGAGAAAGAGAGAGAGAGAGAGAGAGAGAGAGAGAGAGAGAGAGAGAGAGAGAGAGAGAGAGAGAGAGAGAGAGAG